ACTCGGGTATATGCTGCTTTTCCTGACTACCCGACCACAGGAACTACGAAGTGTGAAATTTGAGGTGCACACAATATTTAAGTTGTTCCTATTCTAAACCAATCTACCATGTTTCACAGTGTTGGTGATGCCTGGCTCATAAAGAAAAGACAAGAAGGATAAGGAAAAGACAAGAAGGAATGTGGAATATCTGTGATCTGATGAGTCCAATGGATGTCAGCTACCCTCAAAGCAAGATCTTAAGTATCAGCTTTCTGATTGCTGCTAAACCAAGTCACTAAATATCACTATTTCCAACTGTACGAACATATGAATCCAAACAAATTTCTGCTGACTTCAGCAGCAGAATATGGACTAATAATATACCAGGATTTTCCCCAGATCTAGTCCTATGTCTTCCCTCCCCCCCAACTCACTAGGTATCCCAGACTGACCTAGAACTCACTGTATACATCAGGCTTGCCTCGAACTCAGAGAAATCCACCTACCTCTTCCTCTGAAGTGCTGTGATTAAAGGCATGCACCATCATGCCTGGCCTAGCACTAGGAGTTAAATGTTTAAAAAGCAACACACACACACACACACACACACACACACACACACAATGCAAGTACACACACACCTCCACCAGCAACAACTACTACTACTACTACTGAAAATCATCTATTTTCAAGCCCTCTGAAATATGGAATCATAGAACACATACAATAACAGTGGTATTCCTTTCATATGGACCATTCTTATTTTCAGTCCTTTTTGACTACTTAAGCTTTAGAAGTATTTGGAAGGCTACTTCTTTCCAAGAGCATGGGCAACCTCGCCATTTCAGTATCGGGAAAAACATAAAGAATCACCTTTGCTCCTGGGGGGAAAAACTTTAAATTTGTTTTTTTAAAAGATGGGTTACAGAGCCGGGCTTTGGTGGCACACGCCTTTAATCCCAGCACTAGGGAGGCAGAGGCAGGTGGATCTCTGTGAGTTCGAGGCCAGCCTGGTCTCCAGAGCGAGTGCCAGGACAGCCTCCAAAGCTACACAGAGAAACCCTGTCTCAAAAAACAAAAAAAAAAAAAAAAAAGAAAGAAAAGAAAAAGAAAAAGAAAAGAAAAATATGGGTTACAGAGACAATCTCTATATTAGAACAATAGTTTTCAAACTTTGTTCTGCGGAACAGGAGATATTCTTAAATAAGAAAAGGAGAAAGTTGTGTGAGCAAATAAAATTGAGAAACAGATCTTAGCCTGTAGAGTCCCCTCAAGATCCAATGCTAACCTCCTTCACACTCCCAGCTCAAGCTCAAGCCCAGAGTTGCGAGGCTGAAAACTCACCTCCATTCTCAAAGCTGACCAGGGACCACCGTGGCATGCAGCCTGTATAAGGCCCAGAGGAAGGCAAAGGTGTGTTCTGGATTTTTCAGGGTAATTGTGATTTTTACTATCCTAGCACACTCTAGTACAAGCACACTGGAGAATGTCCCCATCTTCCCTGCCCCTCACCTTTGCCATCCAAGAAAAAAAAATATCTGGAAAAACATTTTGTAAAAAATGGAATATACTAAGCCAGGAAGTGGTGGCACACACCTTTCATCCCAGCACTCAGGAGCCAGAGGCAGAAGGTCTCTATGAGTTCGAGGCCAACCTGGTCTAAAAAGCAAGTTCCAGGACAGGCTCCAAAGCTACAGAGAAACATTGTCTCAAAATATGGGATATACTAATACTTTATTTATTTATTTATTTATTATTTAAATTAGAAACAAGCTTCTTTTACAAGTCAATCTCAGTTCCCTCTCCCTCCTCTCCTCCCCTGCCACACACTGATACTATATTACTCTTTTTAAATATTAGCATGTGAATGTTTCTGTAAAGTCTTTTAACAAAGCAATATAGTAGGCTTTAAGGCAGCTTTTTTCAAAATTATTTGAACATGAAAGCTTTTAAGTGTAACTGAGAAATAATGCACAAAGCAAAATGTGTGTTTAATATGTGTAAACCATTGGGAATATCAAAACAAAACAGTCCCTGGTTACACAAATTATATCATTAAGGGTTTTCCAATGGGGCATATGAGCCCTCCTTATTTTTATTTTTAATTATAATTACAGTGTCTATATAACTATATAACTCAGTATTCTTTTAGTATATATACTTCACCCAGCTAAGAAATTAGAAAGTGCTTGACATATAGAAAAAAATGAACATATTTTTCTATTAAACAGATAAGTAATCATTCGATGCTACAATAATAATTTTTAGGGTTTCCATGTTTAAGTTTTAATACACTCTTAAATATTTGCCATGCCAAAATTAAAAGATGCATCGTAGACTGTCTCTTGATTGTTGTGTTAGCTTTAGAGTTATGATATTAATACAGCTCCATTATAGTTAAAACTGATCTGCTTCAAGGATTTTTGTCCATTCCAAGCTATTCTAAAAGCATGAATACAGGATTTCTTATTTTTAAACTATGATGTTATTTCACTATAATCTTTCTTATTAATTCATTTTAGTTGGTCAAAGCATAACATAATCATCGTCTGTCAATCTTAAAACAATGTCAATAAACATGGAATGGAAATGTAAAGGATTCTGGGGATATCACCAAAATGTTGCATTGTATTATCATGATGATTTGCAGCTACAACCTCAGGAAGTGCATATATTCACCTTATATACACACCATTTTATCATTGAGGAGCACTATTTCAAAAGAATCAAGGAAGTTACAAAGATACAAGTTTCTTAGTATTTATCCAATCTAATCTAGAAAATAATATCAAAATGCACTTTATCATACAATATTGGCTTATTAGAATCTATTACCCCTGTAATACTATACCTCCGGACATTCCAAATGAGAACACGTGTGCCTTTTTTGCCTGGGATGGCATCGAACTGAGATAGCAGGTCTTTTTCACTGTTGAAAATTGAATAGTTCAAGATGGCTTCTAGGCTGGGCAAAGAATCTTCAGTAACAATCATTTTTTGTAAAAACAATTCAGTCAAAGAAAATCAATATCTTACGAGGATGGCATTAAGAAGTAAGAGTCATAATGAAACTCACTGGGTTACAAAAAAGGACTTAAAAAAGGAGGACTGGCTGAGAAGAGGAAGAGGATCAGTGGGAGGGGTCAAGAGATGATGAAGTAAATGTAATACAAACACATTATACACATGATCATGTGATAATGAAACACATTGTTATACAGTTATGTAAATGAATAAGGACTAATGAAAAGAATGCCTTTGAGGTTACATGTAGACACAAAATCTACATGCTAAGGATGGGCATTACTGCTACAGAAAAGAGGGAAGTAGAAAGTTGAGGAAGACTGTTTATTCAAACATCAAAATCAGTAATGCTTGCAGAATACAGCTGCAAAGATGCAATGTAAACAAAGAAAGTGCTTCATTTTAAAAAAAGGGTCAAAGGCCAAAATTTTTAATTATCTGGCAGCAGTTAAGTTCAATTCTTCCTGCCATACTTCTCCCATCCAGGTATATACAAACAAACCATTCTGCTAGCAGATAATCTGGTAAATAGGATATTTCTAGGAGCGTAAACACAAATGCAGTTAGCCTTTATGGGCCAAAAGCCCTGAGAACTTTACCACAGAACAGTATCTAGCAAAATGATAATTTTAGAAATCACACTGTAACAGTGAGAATTTGAATGCAGAAAAAAATAAGCTTCTGCTAATGGTCCACATTTAAAAAAAATATTTCATAGAGGGACTTTTCAGTTATGTTTGAGATGTTTGAATACATCTTTAAGCATAAAAACTTATGAGAAATATGAACTACCAAGTAACAGCTGGATTTGACCTGAAAAAGAGGTTCGGCCAAACTAGTCAGACTAATACTTAATCAATAACTCTCCATTTCTAGGAAGGATATTGCTTTGCTGGCTGAATGGGGCAACTGGTACAATAACTGCCTGCGCCTGGATACACTCCAGGTAGCTCTGTGACAGAAGTCCAACTGTGAGAGTACACCCATTCTTGGTGAAGACAAGAGCATCTTTTCCTAGCCGCATGGAACCCGACTTGAAACCATTACCAAAGACCCCGATGGGACACTGGCTCTTCTTTATTACTTTATCTGTAAAGCCAAAGCTGAAATTACAGAAGAAAACAGAAATGAGCAAGGTAAAAAGCATCCTAAAATAGCAGAGAAAATGGCTAGCTTACACATGCAGAATAGCAACAAGTTCTGTTTTCACTCTTTTTAGTACTTCCAGGCAAAACATAGGAAATTATGATTGGGCTCTGAGACCAATTTTCCAGTGTAGCTTGTGTGTACTTAAATATTAAATAGTTCTATATGCCAGAGTCACACTTTGCAAATGAAATGCTCCTACTGGCTAACATAACAGTAGGAGCCAGGGGAGGCCTTGCACAGCTGCCTTTCTTGTTTAGATAAATCAGCCCTGACTGCTGTGAGTCGGGGCTATATGAAAAGTGTTGTTACCTGGAGAGGGTCAGGAAAGTACCAGTGGTGCTAAGTGAGGTACTTGGACTAAGCACCTTCTCGTCTGGTCACATCACCCTCTAAAAATCTCAAAGAGATCATTTATCTTGACAATTCCAACTCCCCACCCAAAGGATAACCCTCCTAATTCTAAGCCTCTGTTCCATCTGCTGGGACAGTTCACTGGAACATTGCCAAGGGATAAAAATAGGTAGTTCTGCCCATGAATATCTGCAAACAGCTGCAGTATAAAGTCTCTCTTGTTCTATTAAAGGCCTCTCACTGAGTCACCTCAGCAAACTCTGCAGCCCCTTGTCATCAGCTTACTCTGAGGGTCAAAATCCTCCCCTTTCTTATGTTTTTCATTTAGATACTCAGATACGCATCCAAATAACTGAATATAGAAGTATTTAAACACATGATGCCTACAAAATGATCTTCCCCTTGTACCCTCCACCACCACAAGTAACACAAATTTAGGGGATTGTATGGCTCCATATTGCACAATTTCACAATAACGTACACCGCTGTTAGTATAATATTTATTGGAGCTCTATGAGTTATGCATTATGCTGAGCACTGGAGACACAAATTTTAATACAACTAATATGAGTCTTGCCTTCATAACTGATAGCCGACAAGATTTCATGTTATTACAGATTAGCTGCTTCTCCAACGTCAGTGAAAGAGACACTGTCTCCACATGGCACAACTGAGAGGGTTGGTTCAGGACTTACTCTTTCCAGTTGGAGGGAAGAGGGTTCAACTACCTGGTCTACATTTCCAGAAGACTGTGGGTTTGTGTTTACTACCCAATAAAAGGGAGCAGCTTTCAATTTTCTGTTATATAATGATATGTAACAATGTACTGATGTTCTCTAGGTCTCTGTGCATCCTACAAATAAATCTAATGTGAAATGAAAACAACTTTCAGGGAAGTGGTCCTCTGAAAAGAACACTGAGTTAACATTATGTTTGAGCCCTAATGATTCCAGGAAGTAAGGCTTACAAACTGATAAGATTCTGATATTTTTCATTTCTCTTGTAGAAGAGCTGGCTGGAAAAGTCATTAGGATGATAAAGTTACAGTCTATGTAAAATACATCAATTATAAAGTAATATTCAATCTTTAATTTTAAACTGACTCTAGGATTCACTCTGAGAACTAGAGAATTATGTTCCTTATCTATACTCCAGATCTAATGGCATATCTAAAATTCAGGGATCTTCAGGAACAGGCCTTTGACCTGCTGCATGAAATGGTCATTAGGATTTATTTTTTCTACTATCACAAAACTTTCAATTAGGTAGTCAAGGGAAAGTGGTACAACAGGCAAACTGTCAATCTCTTATTTTCCAGTCTCCTCTACCATCTGTCACCTATTTTCCCCTCCATGCGTACAGATCCTTGTACTAGTTACTGTAAGTGGAGCAGGGGATGATATAAGGTTGAAAAGGTAAGTAACATGGCAGAGTCAAAACCAGTAGGGAAAAGGATAAAAGCAAGGAGAAGAGAAATGGAAGCTCTAGACTTTGTTCTATTACTAACTCTTCCATGTGCTCTATTTTGCCAAAGGTCCCATGGCTTAGATGGTTCATCTTCACTAAGTCAATCTTGTTCTAGCCTCTCTTGTAACAAATACTATTGTTTATACACCAAGGGACTTCAAGACTGGCACTCTCAATGGAATACAAGAACACAGCAACTTCCTCTTGAATACTCTTAAGATGTCAGGAATCTAGATTCTTAAGAGATAAATTTAAATCGGGATGCTGGCCAATAAAACACACCATAGCAGAACTCCAGGGAAATATACGAGCAGGCATTTGTGTTTGTTTCCTAGATACAGTGGTGATGTGACATGTACCGTAAATGGCTGAAAGACTGGCAAGCAGGCTGTTACTCTCTGGCTGCTGTTTTGGAGCAGACCTACTATGTCATAGGATTCTGAGCGGAGGCAGCAAAGGCCTTCGATCTGTGGCTTTGTGCCTCTTTCTAATCCTTGGCCTTTGAAAGAGGGAAAGGCTATTGAATGGATATATATTGATTCACATACTATCCAAGAAGAAAAAAAAAAGGACAGAACAGTGGCTCTTAAAAAACTGAATGAAAGGTTTTCTTTGATTTAGTTTTCTTCTTCCCCTTGAGGTGATGGGGATTAAACACAAGACCTTCACATGCCAGGCAAGTGCTCTATTACTTGGAGGAACTACCTATTCAGCACAGACTTTGCTTTTTTAGTTTGATTTTCATGGGTTTCTGTGTTTATGAAAGAAACAGCTCCTTCACTTACACACCCTAGTTTATCAGCCTGAAAACAGGAAGAGTAGCATAGTGAGTCATGAAAACAGGCACAGGATACCAATAAACGTCGGGGTCAAACAGAATGGCTATAGGCTTAATACTTCCACATACTTTGCACGGCGACATCTGTTACTTTTTTCCTAATACAAAAAATATATGCCACAAAATGAAAAATAGAAAAAGTACTTTATACAGTAATAATATTCAAAACTACCTCTGAAGTTTAGAGTGTTTTTTTCTTCAACAATTGTGGTGGGCTAGGGCCATAGAGACCAGATAGAACAGTACTTTCTGGTCATGTCCAAGGCACTGCCAGAAAAACAACTGTGGGAAGTGAAGTCTTGGGTTAGATGGATTAGACTAAATGATCTCCTTTAAATAAATGGTATCTTTTTTAGCTAATTCATATTTCTTTTGAGATACAATCACAAGTAAAATCCAGTATACACACTACATTAAGTACTCATTAACACAGTTTTTGAAAACTATTTTTAATATAAAAAATGAGCACTCTGTATATATGGTGTGACAGGAAGAATGCTATGGCTATAGGAGTTTCTGCTTATTTTGGCTTCTTTGTGAGGGGCCAAAATTTTGAATGGATGATGCTGATCCTTCTTATTTTGCTTCAAATGACATTTTGTTAGCCATCAAGATGTCTCAGTAGGCAAAGGCACTTCCAGCAAGCCTGAAGGCCTGAGGTCAATCCCAAAATCACATGATGGAAGGAGGCAGCCAACTACTGAAAGTTACCCACTGAATTTCATACACAGGCACCCCCCCCAC